TTTCGCGCTATTTTGTCAATTTTTTATTCTCAAAATTTAATAGTCAAATGCGCTTGTTCACCTTAAATGTCAGTCTACTTCATGCATATCTGGGAGAATATATGAATATCGTTTTTACCAATGATATGCTTGTCCTCTTTTTTAGTGACTTCTTTCAGTTTATAGCAGTTCACCTAGTGAGATGGCAGATGCTTACTCGAAGTCGATCAAAATAGCCTTGGATATGAAAGCGTTTCGAATAGCCGGTATTTTTAATGTCTTTGAACCAACATATATCTATACATACGGTCTAATCAATGATTTTTCTTGTATTGATGAATTAAGAATGCGGTGCAAATGCATCTACAACATCCAAATCTGAATGAATTGCCGGGTGCAGATGTTGAGGTAGATGAGCGTATGTGCTAAAATACTTATTCCGTTTTTAGATTGAAAGTGAGATCGTAATATAACTGATGTGTACCCAAACTAAGTTTGGCAAGTGGTGATGCTAAGTAATTCTTACATTGAGGAGACATGCTTACTTAGTTTCTTTGCCAAATTTGGTACTACCCCAGATGAACGCTCCGTAAAACTCAAAATTTTCTGGTATAAGCCTAAGTGACTTCTCCAAAAATCATCGATGTTTACTTTCCAGATAATCCTCTGCTTTGACAACACGTTGTCCCTTCATCACTTCGATTACCTCTCTAATTGTACTTTCTCTTGCTCAACTTGTCGATTTTACATCACTAGACGACCTTGACAAAACGAAGTCGCAATATCGCCTGTGACTTCAAAAAGCCAAGCCTTTTATCAAATACTGGCTCGTGTATATCATGTTTTGATGAATTAAGACTAAGATTTGACGACAAGGAATTAACTTACTTTCTTACGGAACGATCAAGAAGTATATTGATCTATAAATGGGTCACCTCCGGACTGTAGAGAATAACGGTAGAAGAGCAGCACTCTAAATTATCTGGGACCGAATATTCGTGTTCGAATCTATTTGATACTCAATTGTATGGAAGGACGCATGTATTCGGTTTTTCGAGTAGTTGAGTATACAGAAAGATGCATCTATTCGTTTATTTGAATTCGATATTTTGAAACATTGGCATTCAAATATTCGATTACGAATAGTGTTGGAACTAAATTCGAATAAGTTCGTCCGAATGCTTGCGAAGTCACCAAGTATTGTTTGTTCGAAAACTTGCGAAATCATTGTCTGAATGAAATATTTGAATAAAAAGTCAAACATTCGAAACGGACTTATTTGTTCGAGTATTTATTCGGTTATAATCAATTGATTTTTTTTTCTGAATTGAAGAGCCACTCCCTGAACTATGATTTAACTCAACTGCTCAAATCTGAGAATCTTGTTTTCCGAATTACTGTTCAATTTGAGCATCGTGCTCATAGAGGAAGAGTTTAATTACAATGGTGCTCTGGATGTAACACTCTTAATCATCTGATCAATAGCCTTGCCAAAGCCAAATATTTGGCTGCTTTCCAAAAACTGCATACAAGCAGACCTCTGATATTGAGTGCCTTAGTTGTGCATCTCGCTCGGCTATGAAAAGATTTGTCTAAAGTTGCGGAAATTACGAGTTCTAAAGTTTTTAGTTTTGAGTGGGACAATTCTTTAAATGACTTTGCTCTAGCCTTTTTTTCAGCACAGATTAACTCTGTGATTTTGCATTCACTTGAAAGAGTTAATGTGTCAGTAGCTTTTAAGACAGGATAGAGAGACATAAAAAGGTTGAGGAAGTCGTTAAAGATGACTGCTCATTTGATGTTTGTGTGCTGTATTTTGCCGCAGCATGAAAGCTAGCAGATATTTAGAAAAATCTTTGCAATTGTTGTTGACCTTCATCCCATACTCCTCGGTAATAAGCTCTTTTTTTAGAGGTTAGCCATTCTCCGGTTAAGCAAATAGGTTTTTAAGCAATTATCACCACTGAATGGCCGTAGTGATGAAGCCACAGTGACTGCTTAGCCCGCTCTTAACTTTTGTTCTTCTGATAGTCACGTCGAATTGTAATCAAGCTTAGAATCTTGAAAGAGTTCTTAGCTCATAAAAAATTAGTACTAAACGATTTTTTTGAGAAATCTACGAAGTTTCAAGGTCTAGTTGAGCAGTTGTGCCCGACGAGTAGCCCAAATAATCCTCCTTCTACTCATTACTTCCACCAGATTATTTAAATTCTATGCTAATCAAATTATATAAAATAAAATAAGGTAAAATATACTTGACGAAGTCTTAGCAGTTAGATAAGAGATTGTTGTAATAAACGATACGTGATTGTACCTGTTAAACAGCGAAAGGCCATAATAACAGTTTGGTTGGTTGAAATTTCGTTCCATAACATTTTATGGACAGTCGAAGTTGACCAAAAAAATTAAAAAGTTCTTACACCAGCTTAATATATCACGCATCTTCTAGGCTTGACATCGTTGGAAGCTGCCAAAGCTTTAGTTGGATGCAATCAGTATGAAATGGCGCAAGAACATGCTCAGCGAGGTCAATTATATTTTCTTTTTTATTCAGTTTAAGTAACGATCTTGTGGTTTGTGACTTTTGCACTCTCTCTTGATTTGAGATTGCTTGGA